TATATGGTAATATTGACTGTAACTTTAAAGGCCCCTACGACTACTTTTAGTTTCTATATGTTGTGTATAATCTTTTCAATTAGGGGTAAAAGCGCAGTTGTCGGCGCGGGCTGTGCGGTGGTGAGGTGCGATCGATACGTGACGCTCTATTGAATTCAATGCTATTGTGGCCGCGACGCGACACGCTACACGACAAATAAATAAAATGCTATTTTTACTCTCGAACTATCTCTACGGCTTTCAACAGAATAATATGTTTGGTTAAATATTTTATGAACAAATTTAATTAAATTATAGATTATATAGATTTTTATATTACAAATATTATAATATAAATGCGAATGTTTGGATGGATCTCGCTGAAATATGGCATACATTTAGAACATATTCTGGAAGAACTAATAGGGTACTATTTTCTTTTAATTTCGCGCAGACAGAGTCGCCGGTGACATCTAGTGTGTATATAAATGAACAAATTTTAATCTATTTGAAAGTTAATTTAATATCTAGATAAACTGGTATTCAAAAATGAGGAACTGAAGTTCCTTATTTTCAACTTCAAATGAAGATGGAAACTCCTAATGATTTCTGAGAATACATTTAAGTTTGTCGTTCAAATTAAATGTTATTCAGTTTAAAGAGAGATGAAATTCATTTTATTTGTGAATTACTTTCATATTGTTTCCGAGAAACGGATTTCTCGCGAACCTTCTGTTTTGTACAGTGTAAAAACTTTTTATAAGCACTAGGTTTAATTTCGAATTAAGTTGCGAACTGTTGACATTACTGTAAAATATTTTATATATTATTTATTATCTTGTTTTTATAAACGAATGAGTTTCTTAAATAATTAAAAGTTTCGTGAGACATTATAATAAACTGATATAAAAACGGGTAAACACTCACGTATATTCTAGTTAGTTTCGAGCCCATCGGGGGCCCTTCATGAGAATGAGTGGTACTGGTATTATTTCGCGAACGCGGCCCGTCGCTCACTCACCACTGACCCCGATGAAGGGTCCCCGATTGGCTCGAAACTAGTCGGTGCCGCCACCGGACGAATATACGTGAGTGTTTAGCCGTTTTTATATCAGTTTAAATAAGTTTCTGTTAATTAGAAAGATTTGTTGGATTACTAGTATGACTTCTATTAATATTAATTATAAATCTGAATGTTTATATGGACGGATGGATGGATCTCCTCATCATATCTCCAGAACTGACATCACTAAATTTTGGCATAGATTTAGAACATAGTCTGGAAGAACACATATGCTACTAATTACGATTTTTTTTTATTCTGTGCCGACGAAGTTGCGGGCGACAGCTAGTATATCATACATTGTAAACAAAAATATTTGAATTTGAAGTCGTGCGTGAGTTTGTTTGCTAAGCTTTTAACCTTGTAACCTAGAAAATTATGTACGGAAATTATTTTGCTTTATGTTAAAAAGTATCTTTTGGTTATCGCTTTACAGAATTTTGTTTATAGAAAAGTTTCTATATAATACAATATTTCTTAATCAATATAATTATAACACACCCTTATAATTTGAATTTGGACACACAAATGGATTTCGCCTTTTTAAAACCAACAACAACAACCAACCCGCACTTGGCCAGCGTGGTTGACTATGGCCTAATCACCCTTAACTTAGGGTAGGCTCCGAGCTCAGTGGGGACGTATAGTGAGCTGATGATGATGAAAAGAGTACGTATTATGTTTTAAAAACTTAAAATAAATAATTCAGTAATTTATTCAAACAAAATGTATAACATGAATCATACTTTTCAAGCTATATAGTGTAAAAGACATCACACGCGCGGCAAATGTAAATTCGCTTGACCGCTCGCATCTCAATGTTATTACAGCTTCCTATTCTGGTTCAAAGTTATTCGAAAATCTAATTGTAACATTTCAAAAGCGATGCAGTTAAAGATAAACTTTTTAATCACAGTAGAAACGTTACAATTTTGATTTGAGTAAAACCTAATACTAAAGAAAATTTATGTGATAGTAGCAATTGCCCGCGACTTGTTCGCCTTAAATTAAAAAAAATAGTAATAAATATAAGCACATGTCACCGGGGGATAGTGTAGCTTTCCAGCAATGAGAGATTTTTGCAAATCGGTTTAGGATTTTCTGAGTATATTCAAAGCAAACCAAAAAAACAATCTTGCCTATTTATAATCTTAATATAAATTAATCACTTCGCTCAATCAATCGTTTCGTTATTAATTAAGCCCAATATTTTTGAAAAATCTCCATCGAATATAATTAGTCACTATGTGTCAATGTGATTTAAGGGTTAATATTATATTTTGTTGGATAATAAAATACATGAGGAAAATTAGTTTTACGACCAGAAATGTATTTGAAGATATCAGAATATGACTGCAGCGAACGCTGGGTCGACTTACAAATTCTGTGGCAGTCCTTTTGCCTGGGTTTTGGTAAAGATCAAAGAGAATATAAACTTATACGAAGTAAAATTTTCTGTGACTATTTGAGAAAGTTTCGCATAAAATTTATATTGCTCTGTATATTATATTTCAATATAATATAATTTGTATTTAATACTAGCTGTAGCCCGCGACTCCGTCCGCGCGAAAGTAGCCTATGTATTATTCCATACTATATTCGAAGTTTATGCCAAATTCCAACGAAATCTGTTGAGTCGTAACGGAAAAACCTTCAAACAAACATCCATCCAACCATCAACCTTAGTGCAATAGCCACTTAAATTTGCGTCCATAAAACAGCGTGATTTACAAAAACGCTGCAGTGAAAAGCGCGGTTTTTCATTTAACAAATGGATTGGAATTTATTCTCATAGCGTAGAGTAATCTTATGAGTATACGTTACACATTACACCGAGGGGACTTTTTGATATTTGTAAAGATTTTTTGATGACTCTAAATTTAAAAAAAAATGTTTATTGCGCTAGAAAACAAACAAACAAACAAATCTATTTAAAGCAAAACACAATTTAAAAACAGTCGAGGACTTTAATTTCCTATCCATGTAATCTAATGATGACGGAATGCGATTACTTAGACATTTGTCATAGTATGTGCTTAATTATAGGTGTTATTTTCAGTTTTTTTGCACTATATTTGAATATATTAAGTGGGAATCGAATTTAATTCTTTGACCATAAATCGTATTTTGTTACATATAAATGAATTTAGTTACTTACTCTAATGTAAATAATTAAGCAATAGAATGCACCGCAAGGCAATTACAGACCAACAATTGATACTGTTTGAGCGCGATGTTGGCGCATAATTAATACTATTGCTAACTAAATAGCTATTGGAAATTAATTTCTAATTAATATCAAAATAATTAAACATTATAATAAACTGAATTACGAGTCTTTTCTTTGTACAGTCTTGGTCTATCTTTTTAGTTCGAAAGCTTGGTTAACATTATTTAACTTAACAAACTTTAAGAGAGATTTTATAGAGAAAATAGTATTAACCCGTGACTAAGTTCGCGCGGGATTGAAAAAATACTTAATTACCTATGGTGTCTTCCAGTCTATGCCAAGTTTCAACGAGCTCCATGCAGCCGTTTTGGAGATAGATTCTAACAAACATCCATCCATCTAAACGTTCGTATTTATAATATTAGTAAGAAGGTATGCTCAAGTAATAGACACGTGAACGCTAAGAGGATTTTACGATACCAATTAAACTACGTCATGAACATGAACTTTCTTAATTAACTTACATAAAGCATGCCACGTAATGCCACAAAACTTTGTGTCATGTAATGCAACAAAACTTTGTAGCCGTATCATTTGCAGTCCACTTGTAAAACTCAAATTAAATAACGTTGTGAATTCGTGCACCGTGCCCACAAGAGGAAGACTAATACTGCAAGACTAATTGCGTTTGGAATTGATGTTTGATTTTCTAACATTTCAAAGAGTTAACTATTTTAGATGCAAATTTAAGAATTATCACTATTTTTTCGCATATTGAATAAACAGAACTATGTCTAGTTGATAGAGAGAGAGTCTAGAGAGAGCGCCGGTGACTCAGGGGTTAAGCACTCGACTTGCAATCCACAGGTCTTGGGTTCGAATCCCGCCATGTACCAATATGTTTAATTATTTCGATTTACATATGTATAGTTATCCGTCGTTCTTACAATGAAGGAATTCAAATGCACGTGTGAAGTTAACCCGTACTGGGCCATCATGGTTGACTATGACCTTATCACCCCTAACATAGGATAGGCTCCGAGCCCCTCAGTGGGGACCTTTAGTGAGCTGATGATGTGTAATTGGTCAAATGTATTGATTTACATATTTGTCGCAACAAACATCCATCCATCCAAACATTCGCATTTATAATATTAGTAAGATAATAGTAAGGTAATAAGAGCAATAAATACACTGAATTCATAATAACATTTAATTTTAACAACTTGAAACATTAATTTCTATATTTATTTTAACAATTTTAATTTGACTTTCTAAAGAATTAAAATAAATTAATATTAAAATTAATAAGCTATTTACATTTTGCAAGTGAATATTTAAATTAATAAATGCAATAAAATCATGTTAATATTATTTTACGTAGAAAACCGGAATAAATACAATTAATATTTATTCGTTTTATTCATCTATTTAAATTTAATAAAAAATATCACGAGTCATAAATCATTTAAAATAAAATTACAAACAAAAATAATAAAAAATTTAATTAAGATTCTGATAAAATTGCATTAATCATATGATTAAAATAACTAAACGAAATATTTAATTTACATTTTTACATTTTATAATGTTAATTAATATCTTAAATTGCAATAATTAATGCAAATATTTGGCGTCTCTCATTTATAAATAAAAATCTTAAATTTAGAACAAAATTCATATAAAAATTAAAATCTAATTTTATGCCAGCTTAAATTTAAATTAATTTAAGATTGTTCAACACATTAAGTGCCACATTTTTCTAAAATAAACTTGCAAAGCAAGTCAGTGGCAGTGAATGTGTTAAAGGGAATGAACACTATAAATGTATACAATGATCTATGTATCACAAGGCAGCTGTGAGTACCTGAGACACGCGCCGATGTTCTCGTCCGGGTCTCTCTTGTGCGTCGGCGGGCCGAAATGTACCGACACGGTGAAGGGGCTGATAGAGCTGTCCACGCGGCAGTCACTACGGCCCGCCGCACAGAACGAGCTGCCGCAGTGGTGGGGGTCACACACGCCCGGCGACATCACTGATGACTGCGGGTACAGTATACACATATTTAAACTATTTCTAAATATTCTCTTAAAACAATTAAAGCTACCATTAAAAGGGGTCTGATGCTACAAGTTAATTCAAAGAGAAAAAAATTTAAATACTATAATTCCGAATAAGGAAAAGGTTAACTAATTCTAAATTCATCTTAATTTCGGCTTATGATAAACACGCGACTGTATTCGCGCGGAATTTAAAAAAAATACTATCCTGCCCTTATTCTATTCTTTCAGACTATGTTATACATCTATGTTAAATTTTAGCGAGACCCATGCAGTCGTTCTGGACATATCTTCTAACAATAACCCATACATCCATCCATCCAAACATTGGCATTTATAATGTTACAAAAAAACTTACTGCAACGAAGTATTCGCTCTCACAAGGTATGGTGACCCTGTCAGCGCAGCGCAGCCGGCCGTGACCCACCACACCCGACCCGAAGTACCCGTACCCGTAGTACCGCAGCTTGTCCGCAACACCCAGGTGCTGCACGTACGGAGACCACCGGGACCAGCTCCGAGACCGCCGAGACCGCGCCGGAGACCACGCAGCAGACCGAGCCCGCCTCTGACCCCACAGCCAAGACGGCCACATAAACCTCCAGATCTATAGCGCAGTTAATGTTAGACTAGCTACAGGGCAGGATTCACATGTTATATTTTATCATTAATTATATAATAGTTAATTTTTATTGTGAATAAATGTAAGAAGTTAATGTAGGAAGACGTCTGAATGATGCGAGGATAATCATAATTAGAAGAATTAATATTTTGTTAATAGAAAATCAATGAATTCTATATTTATTAAATGGACAAACATGCTAAAATGAGCATTAAATTTGGTAGTAAACGTAATAATGACACACTGAATCTTACCCTGGACGCCAGGCTGGGTGCGGGCGCGGGCGTGGCAACAGCTCCATCAGTCCCCGGCTCGGCGCCAGAACCCTCGATGGTGTCATCCTGAGTTTGGTCAGCCGGCATCATCTCACCCATCTGCGGACTGTCTGAACTTCGCATAATTCATGTACTTGCTACGCTACTTTTTAGTTATTTAGTAAATGATATATTTTTTTTCCAGGAAATAACCATTGCATAAAATGAATAAGCTACTGTCGATATCACATTTTGGTCACACCATCATTTAAAACCAGGTGTATACCAGTTCCATTACAGCCCTTGTACCAGATACAACATCGAATATTAGGTTGGACCTCAAAACGAAAAATTTCTATAAATTCGTCAATGAAGATAAAGTTTTAGTAAAGATAAATAGTAAACACGATAATAATATCAAAACGTTCAAGATATTCTACTCACCAGTGGGGTTCATAAGAGGTGCGTCAGAGGAGGGTCCAATCCTGAAGGAGCGCGGGTCACAAGGAGAGTAGCGAATGGCGCAGAAGCCCGTGTTCCTCCTGATACACGCTTTGTAGTCATGTGACGCGAGGTGGCGGCCGTTCACTGCGTAGTTGAACGTCTTTATCGTTCCTGCCAATTGCACATGAAATGTCTTTGTTATGTCATAAGGTGACAAACATGGCCAAATGACCGGCAATGTTGATGTGCCGTGTAACTTACCATTGTTGTCGGTGTAGTGCTGCAGACAGCCGTGTGGTGCCGAGTGAGCGAGCGGCAACTGCGCCAGTCGCAACAGCCAAAGCCGCGGCGTGTCGGCCCCATGAGCCCGCACCCGGATCCGCGTTGACATCGTTGTCGGCAACTCGTCTGCTTCCCGACTGACACTGCCGGATGGCAGGTTGTAGTACACTGAAAAGATAAAAGACCATGAGCACGAATTTATTTGTTAAGCGTAAGAAGATTGACATGAAGTAGACATCCTAATTATAGCTTTTAAATTACTCACGATGCTGTCCATGGTTTTGTCCACACACTGTAAAATTGGTAGCTCCTTCGCCAATTATTAACGCGTCCTCGTCACATTCGCCTGTTGTTCTATTCGGCTGACCCTGGAAAGGAATAAACAAATGTATTAAAGCTTTACAGAAACGATGTAAAAATGTTATTTATATTACTAATATTATAAATGTGAATGTTTAGATGGATGGATATTTGTTTGAAGGTATCTCCAGAACGGCTGAACTCTCTGGAATACTTGCGAATACTCTGGAAGAACACACTACTAATTATGTTTTTTTTTTTCCGCACGGGCCGAGTCACGTGCGACAGCAAGAGTTCTAATAACTGAGAGGTAAAAGCTTTTGAAGTTAGCAATTAGGTCAGTGGAATCCCAAAATACATAACGAAATCAGCGGCTGAGAGAGCTAACGTTACAAATCCGAAACTCCGTAGATTGAATTTCGCTGTCCGTCCTCTTAAAACCGTCCGCGGCTTCGCTCTTTATTACATTTACCTAATTTGGTCTGTCCTTAGCTGCGCTAATTTTATTAACTTCAATTCTTTTTCTGACGTCATACTAATTTTAGTTAAGCGAAATGCTCGAGAAATTGTAATTTTTAGGTCTTTAAACATTTTAGGTTCACATTTTAATTAAATTTATCAAGATAGTACTAAGCTTAAGTAGTTTTATTAGACTTTTACAGCGAAAACTAAGAATATGTCATATAAAAATACGACCAACACCTTAAAAACGTGGATATAAGGTAAATTATAAACTTCTGGGTCTTATCTTGGTCTATAATAACTTAACGTTATCCAGTAGAAGACTTACTATTGTAAAATGTACGAAGTCAATCCTGAGCTGCATGATGCCGGCGTGTGTCTTCTCCACGGTGACGTCACAGTCCTGGTCCCCGTGCCACAGGTCCGGGAAGCCGGGGGACATGAAGTACGTCAGGTTATTCTGCACCACGCCCCCACACGTCACCTCGACTGAGACAGATTAGTGTAACAGTGAGTTGCCACTGTATAACAACATTGTTGCCGTCCCTGTCGATCTCTTTGAAAATAAGAGATGGCAATAATGTTCTTATTAGTGTTATGTTAGATAAAATTCGCGACTAAAATGTTCAATCAGAATTAAAGTGATATTACTAAATAACTTAACAGTATAGTTGTTATTCAAAGGACCAAATCTTTGTCTAAAAATTAGCAGATTTTTTTGTTTTTAAATACTCTTTTTGTGTAGCAAAGAACATTAGTATTAAGATCTTTCAAAATTTTAGTTGAATTTTATTGTAATTTATACAGTTTCTAAATTACGACCAAAGTTCCTAATCTCAAAAATTTTACGAACCATAAAAGTAATTTAGTGTCTGTACTCAAAGGTCAAAAAATCTATTCAAAATTACTTTTATTCCTTAAAATTAAAAGGATCGTTATCAAGGTACATAAAGTTTTCGCCAAAGAAGCTTGTTTTTAATTACAAAAGCTTTTTAATTATCGTAAGACTTTGGTGTTTATTAATAATTTAAATTATGATTCCCTTTTTAATATTAGGTTTTAGTTAATTTACTAAGCAATATTTCTTATAACTCCATTGAAGCATTTGGTTCGTGCTGGAATATTTCAAGGCAATAATCGAGTGACAAATAATTTCAAACATCCAAGTTGCGTACACTTTTGGTACTTCTTAAGTAAACAACATCACTCTCTTTATATGAGTACTAGCTGTCGCCTGCGACTTCGTCCGCGTAGAATTAATTAATTAAAAAGATGAAAAATTGATATATAAACTACCCTTTCTCCCAAGTTGCAACAAATTACAGATGCTTACAAAATTTGATTAGAATTAGTTCAGTAGTTTCGGAGTTTATCGCGAGCATACATTGTGACACGCAATTTTTATGTATATAAGATTAATATGACCGTTCGAGTAGGTGGCATCAAGGTACATGTGACATTTTAATGACATCCCATGTTAAATAGCTACTTATTGTGTATTCCGTTATAATTGGGATGTCGCGTCGCGTGCTGAGAACAGGTTCCTGCAATTTGCATACCTTATTGCAACAAATTATAAATACATTCACTGTCGCGTTTGTTCATTGATTACATCGCACGTTGATGTTATGTTTTGTATAAAAGTTTACGTAAGTCATGTTACATTAACGTAATAACATTGTGATAATAATTTTATCTCTGTCAATTTATTAATTTAATTTAATCATTAAATACAATTTAATTAATTCCAATTAATAGAACGTCGGCGACTCAGGAGTTGAGTACATGTAATCTGCAGATCCTGTGTTCGAATCCCGCCCTGCAAAAATGTGTTTTTCCAACCTTCTTACGGTGAAGGAAAACATCATTATGCAATCTGCACATATCTGCGATAAAGTCGACCATTGCGCCAGCATGGTTGACTATGACCCCAGACTATCACCCCTTTTTTTCCAGTGAGGAATGCTTTATGCATACTCCACGCCCCGGGGGGGACGCGGTAGTTATGTGGGAATCTCCTCCATAGCGGAGGCATACCCACTAAACCTCTGTTCCTCCAACGCATCGGAACGGGACCACGGGCACGCTTTCGCTCTGGTCCGCGGTCCCGTCTACGCCAGCTACCGAGGCAGCTCCCTCTCGGGAGACTATCACCTCTAACTTAGAGTAGGCTCCGATCCCCTCAGTGGGGATGTATATGAGCTTATAATATTCTATGTCCTTTAATATCGTGACTATATTACAATATAAATCTTATATTTATTACAGATAAATTAATTAGTAATTATAATTCGTATGATTTAGCAATGTAATTAAACAAGTATTATTACTGATCTAATTGTACATTAATAGATAGAGACGAGATTAATTTGTACATTAAAGGATTAAGATTATGTTTATGTATGCAATAACGAAATGGCTAGTTTGCTTTAGTTTAGATTTCGATTGTCGTGATACTTGTATTGAAACATATCGGTATCTCTGTTTTTTGTTAAGAAAATGACAGAGATGAAATATGTACTTGTATCTGTTTCGGGAATGAAAACTCTATGATATGATTTCTTTATGATATTAGAAAAACTAACAAGCTATGTTATTTTACTATAGTAATATATATTATGAAGTAGGTTCACTTTCATATTCTTCCGTAACATTAAACTTTATTCGATAACTATCTTGAAAGGTTCTCGTAAAAGTTTACGACCCGTTATATCCCCATTGCTTTTTTTTTCAAACGGACGTACAATGAACAAAAACAACCAAAATACGACCACGGAAACAAAAATAACATACATGAATAAAATTAACAATAACTTTTCGCGTATCATTAAACAAAGTTCCATCTAAGTTATCTGTAAGTTTTAAGTATGCCAGATGAAATGCCTGGATCTAACCGCAAACTGTCTTGCTGTTCTCGTTAAAAGTTGTTCCAAAAGACATTAAACATGCGATTGCTAACGTACCGCTATCACTGCCTATAGTTTGTTTAGATAGAACCGTTTTATACATCACGACACGGGAACGACACGATATTGAATTAACAATATATTTACGTTCAATACAATAGTATCGTAAAATTGGTATAACAATAGTGTTGAGGCCAATTGGAGTGAATACTACAAGAATTCAGCATATTAGCATAGAGTTTACACTATCTTAAAATTACTAGGCCTTAGTCAATGATACTGGCCCAGTGCGGATTAATTGACTTCTTTTCAGAGATGCGCAGTCATGGCATGAATATTTCTCCTTATAAAAGTTAAACTACAATAACTAGGTCTAATAAACTAGTACAGATCCGTGAAAGTTGTATACAATCACCTCATTGCGGTGGTTTCAGGCAACGCGGGTTAGACAATGCCACCACTTGCAGACAATCGCTCATCTGTCATCGTTATTTAATAATTTATGTCACTTTCCAATTCGTAAAATGTAAATAAACATCACTTATAGTAATTCATAATTAAATAATATAAAATATAACACAAGCGGTTAAGCGAAATCCATTTTCGATTTGACAACAAAAGACTGAGACTTGGTGCAATTAAAATTGAATATTTATACCGACTTTCAAAATCATAGTTCGTAAGTAAGATAAAAGGTCATAAAGTAAACTTATACAATATCAATTTGTTAAGGATGGTTATAAAAGTTTTTAGATTTACTGGTCTCGATTACATTTAAGCGAGAAACTTCGCTCACAAGTCCTGGATTGGGTTACTTTAACATTGGTAAACTTATAGTTAAAAGTTGGCGACGAGTTAAATTACGTTTAATCAACTTTACCATTTTCTTAATTAACCTTGTTACAATGCCACGCGTATCTAGCTAGTATCAATAGCTGACTTCAGTTTAATAGTTTATCCAATTTTGACATCGAGGTCAGTGACCGGCACATTCTTATTTCAAAAATAGTAATCATTCATCGGTACTACACTATGGTATGTGGGAAGTCCATCTATTCCCCCTGATATTTACCCCCAATGGGTAATAGATTTCCGACCCCCTGTGAAAATTCTAACTTCTATAATATATAGTTTTGTACAATCGTGCCGACAACAATTAGAGAACTTCATATGAACACAGAGCAAAAAATAGTAACACTTTTCTTCGAGACAGTACACAGAATGTTACATTTTTCCTAGGGGGTATACACGGACATCTATAATCACTTGGGGTTATAGATCTGGGGTAATAGATGGACTAAGTGGGGGTATTTTGTGAGACCGTCTGGTCTAGAGTAGTACTTTGTATAGAGTGCAGCAAATGAGTGAAACAAGTTGACGGCATGGGTTTTCCCCTGCAATTATTGGCCGTACAGTGTTTAGGCACTTAACTAACACGTACTACCTTTCCACCACATCACAACTTAACATCAATTGCTGGAATTATCATTATAAAACATGCAGCTTTTGGCTAAATACTTACAAACGCAACAGACGCCAAGCCCGTGCGCACAGTCGCCGGCCGCTTTGCCGTCGCGCTGCCGGCAATCGTACGGGTTGAGGCAGATGCCCGCGCGGGCAAGTGTCTGCCCCTCCGGCCGGCACTCGCGCTCGCCGCCCACCGGGAAGAAGTTCAACACCTTGCCCAGGGAGAAGAGACCACCTGCGGAAATATCTCTGTTAGGAACTTGTCTTTGGGTTTCACACACACATTTTATTTTATCTCTCTTAAGTTTCTTTTGTATGAGTATTTTGACAATTAAAGCGGAATAAGCGTTGTATTATGACACAGCTAAAATAACTTAACCGAGTTAAATAATTGAGTACATTAGTATACGTAAAGTAAATAATAAAATATTCTTTAGAATCCACACTTTTAAAATAAACCTTTTAAAGAAACTCACGACTTTACTCTAAATGGGTAACAATGTAGGTACTGGGACACTGCCTTAGTGTGAGTCGCGCAGCCTAGTTAGCGGCAGAGAGATAACTTCGAAAATAAAATTTGCCTTTTAGATTTGTTAATAAAAGGGAAATACATTATGTACTTTTTAACGTGCTTCTTTTATTTAAACGAAAGTCTAACAATTTTAAGTACTTAAAATATATTTTTAAGTTTTTAGTACAGTTAAAAATAAACCATTTACATTAGTTAACACCTATAAAATTGGCAAAATACGTCCTTAAATTACGGTAAACAAAACTTCGATAAGACACTACTTAGATATATCTAATCAAAACTCTCTGTTGATCTCTACTCTATGGCACAACGTACAAAATACAGCGAAAAATAGGTAACATGCTTCCTCTAGAAGACGCCACTTTCCCCGACGTGGGTACAGTGAAGCGACATCGAACGTTATATTCCTTTAGATAGCCGACGGTACTGCTAAGGAAGTGTGGCACTTTGTTAAATTGTCGATACGAAGCGACGCGACCATATCTCCCGAATTCAAGCCCATCCCTTCACATAAGCGATATTAGAAAAATACATACAAGGACCTGTCTAATTTAACTGGAAACTAAACTTAATTAGAGCCATTGAGTATTGATAGAGAGAAGTAATGTCTTTTGTGCAGTACTTCCTTGCAAAATAATGGTAGATTAAGATTCTTGGTTTAGTTATATAATGTTAAGAATTTATCGCAGATCTTTTAAGACTAGCAATTTACTCCGTCGTTCGCTTTACGTTTTACTCGGAATAGTAAAATGTAAATTTTAGCACCGGAGAGAATCCTTCGATCGCTGTTGTCTCACGTATACTTCTAATCTTAAATGCAATTCTTTAAAACTTACATCTTATATGTTTCAAGTTTTCATACTGTATTTACTTCAAGAGATCGTACTTGTTAAGTTATTAGTTAAGTACTTAGAAGTAACATATTTCCTCTCTCTATGTGGAGTCAGCGCACCAGGATTTCAGTCTCCAAAAAAAAACAACTATTCGTCATTTCAGTTCCCACAATATCTACAATATAATTTAACTTTAATGCTTTCTACTCTCCAATTCATATTATGAAACTCTTAATAAATTATTTTCTCGTAAACTGAATCAAAACTTTCCTAAATGTTTTCAATGTGTTAAATCCGCGCAAAACTCAATTATTCGCGATCGCATATGTTTTTTTTAACCTGCCAGTCATTTATAATTTGTAAGTAACAAAAAAATTAAGGTTGTAACTAACTAATACATAATTTTCAAAAGTTATAATTAGGCAGGCAATAATTTTTTTTTTTAATTTTTGTAAGATGTTTGAATATGGTTAACAGATTTTTTTTGGTAATTTGTCGTACCCCATGCTTTAGGAAAAAATTACTTATATAGCAGGAAAGTGACAGCCCTGTCCATTTGTACACAGTTGTAACTTCTAAAACAGTGTTCTTAAAAAGCGTCAGTCACGCTGTTTTGGACTTTTTGTTGCTGCCTGTACTTTTCCACACCATTTAGGGTTCTTCAAGAAATGTTGAGTCATTTTGCAAAACTTGCATTAATCATATTAATTGAGGGTAAACTTTTAATTACATTTTCTAAACTAGTCAATATCGATTAATTTAAAAATGTATTTTTTTCGATATTTTAAATTTACAAATATAATCTCTACGGCTGTCATAATACGGTTCAAATTACGTTTTTTTAACATAAATAATCGATACCGAATATTTCTTACATACAGAACCATTGAGATATATTATTGAAACATTAAGCAAATGTTTATTTTTTCTCGTTACAAGAATTCGGGTCCGACAACAAGTGTTTAGAAGTGAGTCGGTACAGTTAGAGTACACTTTCACCGCATTAACTTTTTTTCGATGGTGCAACAGATAAAATCTATTAAAAGGACCAGTCATATGATTTAGAGTTACAATGCATAATTTCTTAGAAAGTCATAGTTAATAAGTTATTTTAGTAACGTTACTGGTGCTTCAGAGTTAAATATGAACGGTGTTATACAAGTTTAAATAAGGAAAAAGTATGGAAATAAATCTTACTAATATTATAAATGCATATTTTTAGATAGGTTGATGGATGTTTGTTTGAAGGTATGTTCCAGAACAGTTCAGCTGTTCTTGATGAAGTTTGAAATTTACACAGATGTATAATATAGTCTGGAAGAACACATAGGCTACAAATCCCGCATAGACGGAGTCGCGGGCGAAAGTACATAAAAAATTCATAACCTAACTTAACTACTATAGGAAGACATTGTACATTCGTATTTTTACTTTTTCCGGATAGAAGAATTTAAATCATTCAGATTATCACATTTTAATTTAATTCTCAACGAAATGCCTCATCCACTAAGCAATATTGTGGTTTGCGGTCTGTTTGAAAGTAGACATAAATCCGACAGAGGGCAGACATGTCGACCCGACATAGAAGCAATCACTGTCAATCAGTGCTACCATTAAACACGCTTATAAATAAAAGAAAAAAATCTTCAAAATTGATATGCTCTATTTATTAAGAAATTAATGGGTGGCACTTACCGTGGGTTTCTCAGTCCAAAATCTTCGTTTAAAACAAGTTCGTTCAACGTTCGCGTAATCTCTGTCTTGTCAAAGATAATGACAAGCATGACGATATGTTTTATACACAGATTTTAGACTCAGAAACTCTCGCTAGTCTGCCATAGTTCGAAGTTTGAAATAATTTCATTCTATGTAGTCTTCAGGCTCTTTTTTCTTTTAAATAATTACTGGTTACAGTATTATGGCCAAAAGATTTTTTTTATTATATATTTATTTTTCTTTTATAAGACCAATACTGGCAGTCTTTAAAGAAGAAAAAAAAAAGACAGTAGTAATGTCTACTTTCTATAGTTACTCTAGGCTATAGAAAGTGGAGCGACAGTAGTGAGCATTTTGAAACCATTATATGCTTGTCGCTTTACTTTACTGAAATACCTCAACTATTAACGGAAATTGATGAAAAGCTGAATATATTTTTAAAGATCATGTTGTTCGAAGTCTGACCTATCAGTCAAGATCGACTGTCTGAACGACACTCTAGAAAAAAATATGTATCCAACGACATATTAAGAACGGTCATTCAGCCAACAGCAGGGATGGCAAACCTTTACGTGTCAACCATTCTAAAGAAATGTTTAATTAGGTCATGTACCTGCTATTAAACAATTGACTTTGTAATTATTGTAAACAGTTCATAGCATAAGAACCACTCAGGTTCTTTCCTCATACACCTATTTTACCTGGCCACAAAAAATGTTGGTGCCTTTGATTCGTCATCCCTAAACTATGGTACGCGTGTCTTTAGTTTGTCAACCCTGGTCTATGGCACGCGTGCCTTTGGTTCACCACCCCTGGGCTATGATACGTTTGCCTATAGTTTGTCACCCCTGGGTACGCGTGCCTTTGGTTTGCCACCACTGGGATACAGAAAACCACGGAATAGAAATTACTAAACATGACACATATCCTTCACAACATAATGACTAGAACCTACGTGATGCACTTTACATTTAAAACCTCTACAACAGTAATACCTCGCTACTATTTCATACCACGTAAAAGTCAATAGTTAATGTATTTACTGTTAGGGCTGTCAAAAACACATTTTTTTGAAAACTCAGCTAGATGTATATTAAGCTAGGCTAGCCTGAAGACATTATTTCTATATTTACACATATTTACGATTTAATAAACTCGGTAAATGAAAAAAAACAAAGAACATTTTATAATTATGTTACCAATTAATTAACAAAACACTTAATGTGGTTGTATTGAAGGTTTAAACTATAAGCTATTTGCGAGACATTTGCTTTGGGTCGCTTAACAGATCATTAGAATCTACTCCTTTACATAATATATTAAAGAGCACTTCGTAATCAAATTTACCTCAGATCTAAAACTGATAAACTAGCTTTGAGAGATAAGATCAGTCAGCAAAATCAAAGACAGCAAAGACGAGCAACATGAACGCAGAGGAGTTTTCAAGTACTTTAAACTTATTTCAATAGTGTATGAATAATGAATGGTAGATACTTTATCTTTATGATAACTTTTAAAGATATTGTTTTTGATATAAACAAAGGCTTGTATTATTTAATTAACAGAAGTCGTTGTTTGTTCACTTTTAAAAACGAGTAATTCATTCTAAAGTACACTATAAAAGCGTTCAACGGATGGCAATTTACTTCGAGCAGACAATTCCGGCACCAGGACATGTTATCAAAATTTGTATGCAAACGAGAACCAGCCCTCAATGTAATCACGCCTTTATTTGATAGCGAATGAAAGCTCCATATCCGTTAGGGTTGGCACTCTCGTTACATAACCGTAAAACTTTACTTAAAAGCGTTTCGCGTTAACGTTCACTGTTATTTCTACCGTCGTTTAATTGCAAACATAAGAGTTTCAACCCTAATCGGAGTACCCTTAAGTTAATGTATTGGAAAAACGTTTTGTTATTCAATAATATTTGCATTGGATTTAAGACTTTGGTTAGAATGTTAAAGTACCGTAACTCCGCAACTAAAAAAAAACTCGCAATTGTATTGTGTATTTATTATAGTATAAGGAATATGTGCAAAAAAGAGTCTCTGGACGTTTATTTAAAAAAAACAGTTGGACTGAGAGTCTTAAAACACTTATGAGGACTAAACAAATATGCATGCAGTAATTAGATATATAGATTAACATGTT